AAATCACACCAGGCTTATATTTTTCCTTCTAAAATCCATAATAATGATACTAAAAGGCCGACTTACCAGTAGAGGAATATTTATTGTTCTAATTAAGTCAACGTTAGGGTCTCCAACAGACTGGTTTCTTTCAAAAACATATGCCTTATTGCTAACAGCAGATATTGTTGTTCCATTTTCTCCAAATTGAACGTTTGCTTTGCTCCTGAGTTCCCTAAAAGAAAACGAATTTTCTTTGAAAATAGATATGACTTTAACAAGAGTTGTCCTTTTATTCAACATTATTCACATTTTTCAAAATATCATTTCAAATATAATGACTATTTAGAAAGGTTGTAGGTAGTAAGCTCTTAAAAACTATAGGTTAGGGGCTGGAGAGATGGCTCAGTGGTTGAGAGCACTGGCTGCTCTTGCAAAGGACCCAAGTTCAGTTCCCAGCACCCACATGGCAGCTAATGATCCTCTGTAACTCCAATTCCAAGAGATCTGACACCCTCTTCTAGTCTCTGAAGACATTGCACTCATACACATAAAATAAAAATACACACAGGCAAAACAAAAATAAAACAAAAATAAATCACTTTTATGTTTGGTTGTTAGCCTCAGCCTTCGAAGACTGCGCTGTCCCTCCAGCCCCCCAACCCAGCAAAAAAATAAACAAATCACTTTTACACACACACACACACACACACACACACACACACACACACACACACCCTATAGGTTAAAGCTAAAGTGTGGGAAAGAGAACAGCCCTAGGAAAATCCTCTCAAAAACTGTTGTTTGTCACTTTTTTTTCTCCCAGAATTGGAGAAGTACAAGAGTCAAATGAACTCTCCTGAGTTATGGTTTGGTCCTGAAATATTTTCAAATTTTTCATTTCAGTTCATAGATTCAGTATGGATTTCAATTTGTTTATTAATATCTTTGATTCTAACTTGAATTCAGTTGAAAATTGATTTTAAAAACTAAAGCCACAGCTAGATGTGGTGGCACATGCCTGTAATCTCAGTACTCAAGAGGCTGAGGCAGGAGGATCATTGTAAGTTCCGGGTCAGCCTGGTCTACCTAGCAAGATTCTGTCTCAAAAAGTCAAAGAAAAAAAAAAGAAGAAAATAAAATCAAGGCCCAAGGGCCTGGGAATATAGCTGAATGGTGGAGCATTTGCCTGTATGTTCATGACTCTGGGTTTGATCCTCACTGCTATGATGAGTAAATAAATAAATAAATAAATAAATAAATAAATAAATAAATATAGGGGTCCAAAGTTTAGTAAAGTTCATTCCTGTTTTTTCTGCACACTTTGGTTTAGTACAAGTCAGTTCCTTCAAATGAGACATTAAGAAATCTCTTAGTGTTTGGTATTCAGCAGAGTAGGTGACAATGGTTGACACTAATAATTATTTCTAAATAGCTAGGAGAGAGGGTTTTCAACACTCACAACAAAAGAAAATGACAAGTGTCTGAGGTACTGGATATGCCAATTACTCTGACCTGATCATTAAACAGTGCATACATGTATTGAAATGTCACAGTACCCCATGTTACTGTGCCAAATGTGTGTGTGTGTGTGTGTGTGTGTGTATGCGCGCGTGTGTGCGTGTGCATGCTTGGACTGAGGGCTGAGGTGTGGTGTTTCTGTGATCCCAGTTCTTGGGAGGCTGAGTGAGGTAGGAGGATCATTGAGAGTTGGAAGCCAGCCTAGGCTATGTAGTGAGTTCCAGGCTACAGTGTGAGACCCTGTCTCAAAATAAAGGAGGGTGGGTGAGGCAGTGAGTAGAAAGGGCTTGGTACAGGGACCTAAGGTGAATGTGAGAAAGAATTCACTTTGGGCATAAAATGTAAGGCATGTCCAAGCATTCAGTAATCAAGATAAAATCTTTCCATGCAGAATTTCCTTTTTCCTAAATTAGTGGGATTTTTTTTTATTGTTCTTTTGGTTTTGACAGGGTCTCACTCTGTAGCCCAGGCTGGTCTCAAATTCAAGGTAGTCCTGCCTCAGCCTTCCAAGTGTTGGGATTATAGGCATGTACTACCATGCCTATCTAAGTTACATATGTGGTTGATATAATGTAGTACTAGACAGAGATAAGAGTGTATAATTCACATAGTGTTAGGAAGGCCCCAGGTAGCTGGACCACCCACGACTTCCTCCACAGGCCTTTCCAGACCACAGCAGCTCATAGGGACTTTTTTTCACTCATCTATCTGCCCATCTGTGGAGTTTGCTGTCTGCATTTGCCATAGGCACTCAGTCATAAACTGATGAGTGAAATAATTTAGACTGTGAAGGAATTGCTACGCAGCCTCAGGTATATGGAAGCAAACTGAAAGCAAAAGCTCTCCTCAAACTTTCAGTGATCCTCCTGCCTGTGCCTCCTGAATGTCAGGATAACAGACATGTACCACTATGCCTGGTTTTTAATAGACTTAATGTAAGGATAGACAAAAATAAACAAAAGCATACATACAGGTACATAACAATAGATGAGTCTTTGACTGTTCTACAGTGCTGGGTGCAGCAATCATAGAGATTTCACCCTTTCAGAAGAACCCGAATGAATCAGTGGTGTCATTAGCGTGCCCTTCCCTCTGGGTCAGACCTCCGGAAACGTGACTAACAAAGGTCTGTGGGGTGAAACCAGTGAATGCCTGTAACATGAGCCAAACTGAAATAATTATGGGAAAGAAAACAATTCTATGTCCTTATGGGAATGCATAATAAATCAGGTAGAGATGGCTGTGTTCAAACGTTTGTAGTTTTAACTTCAGAGGTTCCTAGTGGACTGTTTTTGGTTGTTTGATTTCCAGCCCCTTCTGGTGACAGCCTGATTTCCTTTCCTCTCTGTGTAGGACCATCAGTCAGGGTGTGGAGGGCCTGAGCACTGCCAGTTCCTCTGACCTCTGAATCTGGACCACAGTGACTCAAGAGGCATACCACAGTGAGGACCAGCATAAGTGGATCATGCAGACACCCCTATAACTTAGATCTCTAACTATTTATTCTTTTGTTTTTGTGACAGTCCCTACATAGGCCAGGTTGTCCTTGAACCAGCAATCCTGCCTCAGTGCTGGGATTACAGATGTGTGACACTCAGCCTGGCTTGTAGCATGGATCTTTAAAACTGCCCTGGGTCCTGCCCTGCCTCCTAAGCTGCTCCCTCTGTTAACTTACTTTACAGCCTTCAAACATATTTGCTCCTTTCTTCCCATTATCTCCAGGTACTTTCTCTACCTTGTGATCAAAGATTTCTTTTGAAAATCAAAACCAGTCTTTATGGATGAGAACATGGAGGCTGTGGACCAATCAGGTTTAAAGTCCTGGTCACCTGACTTTATGGCCATTCAAAGTGATTATTAGAGGGTGGATTAGGAGAGGAAATTACCAAGCCAAGTGCTTGTGCAGCCAAAGCTGTGCTTACAAAGAAGCCCCCATTTGGCTCTATCCCAAGTCTCCCCACAGTCAGTGTCAGGAGAGGCCTTCTGCAGGGGGCTGGTGATGCTGAGCTCTGAGTGCCCACACTGACCCAGCTCGCTACTGAGGAGCCAGCAGAAAAGGCGGTCCAAGTGAGCACCAATACAAAAGCAAAGAAAGCTCAGGCAGGGAGCTAAAATTGGCACTCAGAAGAGTCCAGAAGGCACAAGTCAACTTGGTCAAGTTCTCTAAGGTCAAAAATCAGCGTCATTCCTCAGGACATTTTGCTTGTTTGTTTTCTTCATCCAAGTCTTAATTCATGAACCGAAAGGCCTGAATAATCCCAAGCCCAAACCTTATTTCACTTATGTTTGCTTATCTTTACTGACTGTGGAGATATCTTTTTAAATATTTTCTGTATTGCTTACCCATGGGAACCCGATATTTAAGAAATTGAGGACAAAGATGCCATTCACTTCGGTCTGGAACTTGACTTGTTTCTCAATAAAATTCAATAGGTCAAAGCTAAGGTTTTTCAAATCACCAAAGATATAGTTCCCTAGGTAGGCTGACTTAGTCAGGCCAGTCACAGCTAACCTCAAGACTTCCCTCAGCAATTTGGAGTCCTCCACCTGCCACCCTAAGGCATGACTGACACGTGACCTTTACAGAGTACCCTAAGACAAAGAAGGCAGTAAGACATGGCCTTCATTCTACTGGGGCAAATAAAATAAAATTAATTAAATAAATAAAATAAAGGAGATGGCAAGGGCCCTCCTCTCGAAGTAGCACATGATAGGCCAAAGAAACCAAATGTTTTTCCCTCTCACGCTTCTGTCACTCTGGCAGTACTTGGACAGAGAAAGGATTGTGATGACAATATCAATGAATCTGGTTACTAATAACCAGCTGATCAATAACAGTCAACTTGAAAACAGCATAGTTTCTGGTAAACACTAAACTGATGGCGAGAAGTGATCAGATCACTGCTATACAGTATTAGAGAAGACCAAAGAACCATCTAGAAATATAGACAAGAGCTTAAAACAAAAGCAAAAGCAATCTTGTGCCTAGACAATTAATCAAGGAACCGTATTTCCAAGTGCTTGGCACAGCCCCTGTTATCAATAGGTGCTAAATCTCAGACCATAGTTTAATGTTTGTTAAACACAATTATGGTTCTAGTCAGGAAAAAGTGGATAAGCCAGGAGTAGTGACCACATCTGTAGTCCCATCACTGGGAAGTCTGAGGTAGGAAGATTTTAAGTTTGAAGCCAGCTTGGGCTATATGGTAAGGAGAGAGAGAGAGAGAGAGAGAGAGAGAGAGAGAGAGAGAGAGAGCGAGAGAGAGAGGAAGAAGCAAAGGGAATAGATGAAAAGCCTGGTGTGGTGGCTCTTGCATGTAGTCGGAGGCTGAGGCAAGAGGACCACTTGAACCCAAGAACCCAGAAGTTTCAGACCAACCTAGGTACCACAGCTTGCAAATACCAAAAGTCTGTTAAAAGGGGGTGGGGTGGGGCACAAAAAGGAGAGGGAAGAGGCATTGGCCTTGTGGCTCACTCCTGCTATCTCAGCACTCAGGAGGGCTGCTGTGAGCTTGAGGTCAGCCTGGAATACACAGTGATTGGAAGAATCAATGCCTGTGCATCTAACTCCTTTGAGATGCTAGATAAAACCGGATGTATACAATGCTGTTATGAGATGAGATCCTTATCTTGGGGCTGGGAACACAGCTCAGTGTCATAAGAGCATTTTTCTAGCATGCTTGAAGCCCTAGGCTCAATTCTCAACACTGAGAG